GTTTTATTTTATATGAAAGTACTCGCTTATAGCTTCTATATCATACGTTCGTAAGTCGAGAATTATTTTTATTATTACCGATATGATAATTTTGATTCTCATCGTCAAAAAAAAACGTTGTTGACCGGGGTATATCATATGTTTCATCCATCGGCGCTCAGTGATCGATTCGTGACAACTTATATGAAAAGGATATATAAAACTGGTGCCTGGTTCAACGCGAGGAAATCAGCTCGTTGAGAAATCTTCCATATTTCTCGTTTGACTTGTGTAATTTAAGTATTAGCATAGGCAATTACGATTACGATTGAACTATCTAACTTCGTGCTTAGCGTTCCTCAGGATCGTGCAGAACGAACGAGGAGTCCTCCAAAAGAAAACTATCGCGTTGCAAAAATAGTGTTTCTACGGTTTACCTTCTACCTTGTGATCGAACATCGTCTGATTGCTCTTCTCTCAATCGTTTTGATCTTTGATTGTACACAATCGTGACCGTGTATATACAATTTTGATATGTGTGCTATAGTAACAATCTACACCTCGTTCTTCAGGACTTTGATGCATGTTCAAGAGGATATTTACGTTCAGGTCGGAAAATGAGACGAATCCTTCATCTTCTAACAAGGACCTGGCTCTTCCTAGTTGTAGAGGATCTTCCGGAATGAAAAATAAAGTATATATGTATATATACATGAAATAATAAGATGGAAAGACAGGATTTGACAAAGATACGGTGTTTGGGATTAGGATGCTGACAGGATATAAAATTAGTGTTAATGATGGATATTTTGGATAAATGGATAATTTGGCTGGAAATATTCTATGGATTCTGTAAATAAGCGGATTACTTGGATCTTTGACCGGACAATATATATATATATATATACATATATATATGATAACGCCGTTATATTCATGGATTTGGATTATCAAAATATCGATCAATTATATAAAAAAGAGAAAGCAAAATGTGTGGCTGTACTCGTTTCACAAATAGGTTTCTTCATGGATTATATCTCCTAGGTCGGATATGGGATTTGGACTTGCACTTATCAATACAGGAATTTAAAAAAATAAAAAATAGTCGGATATCATTTTTCGGATAACACGGACGATCGGGAACGGATGATGCGATTCGCACACTCTCGCTGTAAGGTATTTGTTCAAGTTTAATATCTCTGCCGCCCCTTCGATATATACATATTTTTCTGCATGCAATTCTTCTAAACGATATGACAAAAAAAAAAAATCCTAAAAGAATCAAAAAAAAATCCATTTTTTAATTTTTTTTACGAATCCATTTCTTTGCGAAACTAACTTAAAAACGTATAACAGATATAATATTCATCTGTTTGAAAGATCTATTTCAGTGTGATTAATCTTTCATCATCATCTTTATGTTTAGCTTTTATCATACATACATATACAAGATGGATCAACTCATATTGATTTATCATCTTGATTTACATTATTATCAGTAAAGAAAAATGAATTAAAGTAAGGTTGTATAATTTCAAAAAGATATAAAATCAAATGAAATTTTGCAAACATAGCCATACATTTTAGAAATTTAAGAATAATCTTTAATTTTGATTCTTTATAATAGAATTTTATAGATTTCATATATCATATATAAAATTTCATATTTCATATATCATATATAAAATCAAATCAATTTTCAAATCTCTAAAATAATAATAATTAAAATATTTTGTGTCATTTTATATTTTCATTGAAATTATGCAAATTTATTTTCTTCTATTTTCTTTACTAATAATGATATTGACGTAAATCAAATTGATAATATCATACGAATTATTGCACAAATTTTTGAATCCTTAAACAGAAATTTTTCTCATAAAATTTTTGACAGAATGAATGTTTGTTTCCTGATAGTAGATTAACTCCTCTTTAATAGTTATCCAATTATTTCTTTAATTAGAAACTTTACGTTTGTTATCTTGATGATAAGAAGAATTTTATAGAAATTCTAATCATCTGTTCAGGAAGCAGGAATAAAAAATGTTTGATTATTTTATTATTGACACTATTTTTGAATATAACCTGAATTCCTTTCCTTAATTAATGTTTATTGTTGAAAATATCTCTATTATTATGATTATATAATTAATATCGGTAGATTATACACTTTTTTTTTTCATGTATTTGTTCAAGAGAGCAAGAAGAAAATAAATATGTGAGTATAGATTCTCTTCCACGAAATATATTATTATTTTTCCTATAATATAAAAACAATATATTAAAAAATTGATGATTAATCAGATAATTTTAATAATAGGAAAATATTAATGTATTTATAAGGAAGAAAAATATATTAAAATATTTATAGAAATCTTTTTTTTTTACAAAAATAAATAGTAATAATTTTTTTAGATAAAAATATTTTATTTTAATTTTTTTTTTTTATTAAATATTTTTTTATACAAAAAATTTATTAAAAGTTGTGTTAATACTTTATAGAAATGTTTTTCAAATGTATATGACTGAATTTTAGGTGAGTAATATGTAAGAAAACGGAGAATATAATGAATTAATCTTTTATCAGTTTTGTTCAGATGATCCGTCGGATCAAGAGGAGAATGAACTTCCGCCGCTTCTTGGATTAATGAAGTGACCATTTTGTAAGATCGTGATATCTAATAGTATTGCAATTAATATTTGTTATGAAAATTCTATATTTGTAAATTTTATATTATGTAAATATTTAATTTACATAATTTATTTATTTAATACTAAGAAATAATAGGAATTTAAACTTATTATATTATAAATGTAATAATTTTATTATTTTATTTTTTATCTCATTATATTACACGATCGATAAATAAAATATTCTTTTTGCTTGAATTATACTATTTTATATTTAATAATAATAATATTCCATGAGAAAGAAGTAATATTACAAATCTTTCGATGTTGATAAATTTTTATTTTGTATTATTATTTACAAGTATTAATTGTTATGTTTTTGTTAAACATATGGAAAAATAATAAGTGGTATTTGGTTTTTCTTTATATCGTTTCACGATTCGGTGTGACCACCAGTTCTTTGATCAAGACATTGTCAGGAGTTTGTAAAGCGAAGAGAACACAATCGGAAACATCTTTAGGTTTCAAAGCCAGACGAGAGTTTTCTTTTAACCATTGTGCAGTCATATCGGTTTCCACTAAATCAGGACTAATGGACTAAAATATATATTATCAAATTTAAAATTTCGAAGACATAATTGACAATTAAAATTTATATTTCTAGATATAAGAATGAAGATAATTGAAAACTTACAATGACTTTGATATTGGATTCACATTGTGCTAATTCAGATCTAAGACAGTCTGTCAAGGTAGTTAATGCACATTTACTGGCTAAATAAGCTGGACGATTACGATTCATTGGTAGTAGGTTCAGTCCAGAAGCATCATTGATGTTTATAATAATACCATTATTAATTCCTAGAAAATACAATAGTATAAGAATATGAAAAATTTATATTTTGAAATACATAATATATAATAATTTTCTAAATTTTTATATATCAAAAATTAAATTTTACCTTTTTTCTTCATTAATTTCAGAACTTCTTGCATCATGCAAGTCAGTCCAAGAAGATTTATGTCAAAAATTTTCTTCCAATCTAATACTTCATCATTTTGCATTGTGATATCAATATTAATAGCTGCATTATTGATGAGAATATCTATAGCTCCTAAGTTCTTCTCGACCCATTCTATGACTTTCAAAATATCGTTCTGGTTGGAAAGATCGCATTGAAGAGGAACTAGTTTTCCGGGTTTCGATTTTAGTTCCTCAACAAGAGTCTATTTAATAGAATAAATAAAATTTAAATTTTAGGAATAAACAGATGTTATTTTTATTTAAAGAAGAAAGTAAAGATTCAAAGTATATGAAATTGTTTTAAATTATTATATTTATATAAATCCAAATTTATTAATTTGATTGAATGAAATGTTTTACAATCTATAAATTAAACATAAATTAAGCATAAATTAAACAACATAATTATAAATGAAAAAGTGATAAATCCATAATGTAAAAAAAAAATAAGAATTATTATGGAAAAGATATGTAATTTATTATGAAGTTTTATTATTTATTAATTATTGCTTTAAGAAAATATTTTTACAAAAAAATCTTAAAAAATACCTTCATTTTATCGACTTGTGGAGCAATTCCAATAACTTTCATTCCTTTGCCAACTAAACATTCTATTAGACATTTGCTAATGCCCGAGTTAGCTCCAGTAACTAAAACAACTTTATCAACCCAATTTTGTTCCATTGCGAATTCCTTGATATATTAAATTGTGCTTGTTTTTTTTCTTTTTTTTACTTGTAATCATACGAGAGAGAACCGTAGAATTGAAACCATAAAATGTATCTGAATTTTGAAGCGTCGGTGCCTCTTTTATATTAAACAAATTGTGGCCCAAGATTACCGAGGTCGCGTTAATCTTCAGAGATACTTTAACCAGACTTTGTCTTTTTAACTAATATACAGTAGGCTGTAGTTTTATTATATTATAGATTAAATATATTTTGATTTAAATTATAATATTTGTAATATCTTTTAGAAAAAAAAAATTTTTCTTTTTCAATGTGTATAAATTTTACGTGATTTTACAATAATAAAATAAAATTTCAATAAATTTTATAAAGAATTTTTTATTGAAAATTATTGAAAATTACGATTTATATTATAAAAACGATTTTAATCGAAAAAAATATTTTTAGATCAAATTATTTAATTATGAAAAATTATATTATTGTAAATATATACCATCATATATATTAATGTAATTTTTCTTAAAATATGTGTTTACTAAAAATAAGGATAAGTGATAAAAAGAGATACAGGCATTTTCTTGTTCGAGTAACATTTTGCAAATATTGCATCAGATGTGTATTTTTAACATTGCTTCAATCGATATAATTTACGTGATCAAATTTACGTGATCTTATTTACGTGATCTTTTAGCCTCGAAATAATAATTTTAAATAATTGTAATATTATAAAATTCTTTTTTTTCTTTTAAATTTATATAAAAAAATATATCGAAATTTGAACGAAAATTTATTAAGAAAATTGCATAAGGATTTTTAAAGATCGAGGTAATTTTCGTTGTGGCGCAAATCGATCGATAACTCCTTCCATATTTCTATCGTTATATAAAACTTGATACAGATCCGGATTTAGTTCGCGAGCAAACCTCAAACTATCAGCCGCAATCTCGCAACTTTGTTTTTTCCGAATCACTTTATTATTTTCTATTTGAAATAGACCACGAGCTTTATGGATAAGGGCACGACTACGTTGTAAACGTAATTCTTCTAATGGTATTTTATCTTCATCAAATATTTGAAGTATTTGTTCAGCTAAATTAATGGCTCGTTTCGAATCTCTATTGTTTATCGCCACTTCTGCTTTATCGTTCAGGATATCGATTATTCGTTCCGCTAAATCGATAGTCTTTTGACAAAATGGTAAATTCAGTTTGCGCATCTTTTTGCGACATTTGAGATATGACTTTAGTGCCAAATTAATTTCATTACGTTTGACAAAACAGTCGCCTAATAATAGATATGATTCTGGATATTGTTTAACTAAGTTACTTTTCAATACAATTTGTATTGCCATATTGATTTTGTTCTCTAACAGACATTGCATCGCCATATCATATCTGTAAACGAAGTTCGAAGTTTTTGGCGCATAAACATGTAGCGTATTATAATACTATCAATATTATTATCGATAATGTAACAATTTTTTTATGCTTTTTTATATTTTTTTTATATTTTTGTTTGATACGTTTTTAAAAATGGATTATTTGATATTGGAAGAATTTTGAATTAAAATATTTATTATATATATATATATATATATCTATAAAAATATTGATATTTTTACCGTATTAGATACCATTGTTTGATCAAATGATTTCTTGTTTCTCTAATCGAAAGCTTTCCCATGATCGATTTTTCTTTGTCTCTTGTCGGTTTTACTAGTTTAAAAAAATTTTTATTCAGACTCTCTAACCATATATTTGCTTCTTCGAAACGACCAGACAATCGTAAAACTACAGTTTTTAATAAATTAAATCCTGGATTGTACGGATTACAATCCAGTGCTTTTTCAATTGTGACCAAACCTTTGTCGTAACAAGAATGCATGCACCATAAAACAGTGTAGGCTGATAACGCATGACCAGTACTAAATACAACCTGTTTGTATATGTGATATGATAAATATATAACATGTATGATATATTTAGTTTCTAAAATTTACAAGAAACTGATATAAGAAAGTGATATAAAGTAATGGATTTTTAAACTTAACTTATTTTAAATTTTATATTATAATATTTATAATTCAATAATAAATAGTTGTTTAAATATATGAAAATAGTAACATCACATAACAAATATTGATAATAGTAATTGCCAATACATCAAAATAATTTAACAAATTTCAAATGATAATAATTTTAAATACGATAATTTTAAAATATATTATAAAATAATATTAAATAATATATATATAAAATATATATTATATAACTTAATATTTTTTTTAAAGATTATTTATTATTAATTATATATATATAATTAATTAATATATTAATTAATATATCAAAATATATGATTTTATATAAAAGTTGAAAAATTTTTCTGAAAATTATTTTTTATTCTTGTTTAAATAACAGCAGTTTATATTCATATAATGAAATTAATTGATATGAGTTAAATTAATTGAACAAATTAATTGAATGTTTGTTCTAATCTGCAAACAAATTCGAATAAATAAAATTCTAATATTTCATGTGACCGAAATATTCAATTCATTCAAAGCATTTTTACTGAAATCATTTAATAAATAAATTTTGCCTATAATCATGTAACTATTCTGGAAGAATTAATGATTTGTAATCTCAGTTCATGTTGCTTATTTTTGTGTGTAATTTGAAATCTTGGAATTACTTCGGTATGACGAGGTTTTCCTATTTTTTTTTTTTATTAAGAAATAAAAAATAAATAATAGAAATAAATAATAGAAATGTCGAAAGATAAATCATTCTAGTCCTTTAATCAATTTCGTCAATATAATAACTTTGGTTTCGTTTGAACGAAAAAAATATGCAAATGCAAAAATATGGCTATTAAAAATAAAAAAATTTGGAAAACCATATATAAATCTAATAAAGTATAAGATAGAAAAGTATGTGGCTATAGCAAAGAAAAATGAATGCTACTTTTTGCTCAGATAATATGAACAGTTGATGAACAAAAAATAAATAAATTTATTACCAATCAACTTAATATTTTGATTATTAGATAGATTGAGGCGAGGAAAAATCGAATGATACTAAAAAAATAGGATTTATTACGTAGGAATGAAAAATTTTGATGAAGAATTTTTGAAAATAGTATTAGTATCTTTAAAAATTGGAGAAAGTTGAATTGTAAATATAAATGAATAACGAAAAATTTGAATTATAAAAAAAAGAAAGAATGATGAAATTGCTATATGAATATATTGTTGAATATATATTCGATATTTTGGTATATATTAATTAATAATTATTTATATCTTTTGTAATTTTAAAAATCAATTAAAAATAGTTTTTCAATATTATTTTTATGTCAAAAATATAATTTATCTTATTCGAAATCCATTACTTTTATCTTGAAATTGATTAGACGATTTAATATTGATTTCTACATTATCAAATTTACTTTTCGATCATAAAAAAATGGAAAATATCAAAAGATTTTTGAGATTTAATTCAATAGAAAAGTTATAATTATTTTAACTCTATAATGGCACACCGAGATTGTTCATTATCCTAATAAAATGTTGAACATCTTCTTTAAAAAAAAAAGAATTATCTAAAAATAAATAATCGAAAGCTATCCTAATGTTTGATGAATTGTGTGTGAAATTGATGAAGAAAAAAAAAAAAAAATAGTGTGCTATTGCAGGGTTAAATTTGATAAATTTTTATTATTAAAAGAATACTTGTAATAAATTTTGAGCTATTTCATTATTTTTATTAATGCTAAGAGCTTTCAGAAGCATATGCCTGGCAGTTGCCATTTCTTTAAGATGAATCTTATATTCTGCATGTACAGCTAACAAATCAGAAACCCTCATAGGATCAGGATTCATTATAAATTGATCCCAATACATTCGAAATTTATCGTATTTTTGCAATCGACGTAAAATTTCTAATAACCTATCCTGATAATTTATATATTGGAAATTAATTTTTAATCAATACTTATTAACAATAAGGAATTAAGATCATATACTTGTATTTCCATTATGTTCATTTTAGGTATTTTAAATAAAAAAATTTGTTCATAGTCACTCAAAGCTTCTAATAACATATCATTTTCACAATAGAATTCACTTCTTTTCTTATAAGCATTGACTAATTGATCATTGTAAATATTTTTTAATTTCTCTTTCGTCAATGTATAATCATCTTTGGCAAAAAGCTTTGCGTTTTCATAGTTCTGGATGGCTTTTGTCCATTTTCCTTAAATTAAATAATTTTTTATGATTTTTGTGATTTTTTTTATAGATAATAATATTTTTTTCAAAATAGTTTTTTTTTTTAATTCAAAATATAAATATGCAAAAAGATTATGAAGATTGTAAATTTGTATAACAAATAGTTTTTAGATGTGATATATATGTTAATAAAATATAAAAAAATATTTTTTCTTGACATTGTGTAATATTTATTATAGCTTGAATCTATGAAGAAGGAAAATAAAACAAAATTTTTAAAATTAAAATCATTTTAAATTTTTATTTCTTTCATAAAAATTTTCTTTTTTTAAATATTCATACATTACATACAAATAAAATTGTAATACATTTATTTAATAAAATAATAAATTTAATTGTATTTTTCTATTAATTTATCTACCAATATATATTTAATATATTGTATAAAAATTCAAGCTCAATTTTATTTCTAATATATCGTGTATATTATGCATAATATTTTCATTAGAATTTCAAACCTTCAGAAAAATGAATGTCTCCTTTTATAGCATGAAGTGAATGAAATCTTGGATTGTGAAACAATCCTTTGTTAATTACACGATAAATTTGATCTAATTTTGCCTTAATTTTTATAAGATGTTTTGCTTCTCTGAATAAATGTCTCGCTTCCTGCAATTCTTGTCTCTTGGTAAGCGTCTTTGTATAATTCCATAAATCTCGCAACTAGTTCAATAATATATTTGTAATTTAATAAATTTTAATAAACTTTTAAACATAAAATAATCAATTTTTCGTAATCTTATTCAACGAATATTTTCGTATTATTCCTATATATTGTTTTTAATTCATAACTTGTATTTTAGTAGAGTTATCTAGGGAACTTTAGGATTTTGTTTGATTTTAATTTTTGTAATAAAATAACATTTAGTTCCTAATTAGTAAAATATATGAGAAATATAAGAAATATGATTTTCCTTTATTTTAATTTTTTTGATAAATTTTTTTTTTTTTAATAAAATCTGAAATAACATTCTTTTATAAGATAAAATAAAATTTACAAAATTTCATATGAGAATAAAAATTATCTTTCGATTAAAATAAATTAAAAATTACTGATTTATAAAAAATAATATCGATTTATCTCACTTTAAGAGCTTCTTTTAAAGGATTTTTGTAACGTTCTTTTGAATATGCAAAATGCTTCTTCTTTTCGCCAAGCTCAAATATCTCCATCGCGAGAAAACATCGATTGCAGGAAATATTTAAATGGAATATAGGATGGATAGGTTATATCATTTGTTTTTGTTATGAATAATCGAGAAATTAAAGGATATATGTAGATGTAAAGATATATGTATAGATATATAGATGTATCATTTACATGTATCTCTGCGAACTTCATCATCTTTGATAAGTATACTTTGGATAAAAATTTAATAAAATTTAGAATTTTTTTATTTTTTTTTTAAATTAATTTAAAAAGATTTTCTAAGTTGAAATTCTCATGAAAAAAATTAAAAAAATTTTAATCAAAGAATAAAAATTAAAAATTTCAAATAATATATTAGTATTGGATGTATTAAGTTAATTTAAAGATTTTCTAAGTTGAAATTCTCATGAAAAAAATTAAAAAAATTTTAATCAAAGAATAAAA